GGGGAAAGCGAGTGCGTTAGGGAAAGGGAGTGCACTGAGGAAAGGGGGTGCGTGGGGGGGGTTGGTTGCATTGGAGTGGGTGGGAATTGGCGATACAGGTAGAGAACAGGGTGCCCTCCACAAGCTGGCTGTGTTTTGGAATTAAAAAAAAAAACATTAAAAGTTCCCCTCCTGCCACTTCCAGTTTGTTAGAGACTGTGCCTTGCTTTTGCACCCAAGAGAAACTTTAAAGGGGTGAAGAAAGAGAAGAGGGGGGATAAGGGAAGCACCCACTTGGTCCAAGTGTTCCCAGATCAGCCCTGGGTGGAGAAAACCTCCAGCCCCTGCTCCTGCCCAGCCTGGGAGCCTCTGGGACCCTGGACGCCAGCCCAGCGCAGGAGGGGCAGCTCTCACGCAGCCTCTCTCTGTGACAAGGCTGCCTAACCCTGTCCCTCTGCCTGAATCAACAACGTGTCATGCCCCTCTGGTGACATGAAAGTGGCCTTTTGCTTGCACACCTCCATCTTGCCACTTTTTGATGGGAGAAATACAGTCCTGATGGGATGCATGGCTCTGGAAGGGGTGCGTGGCACTGGAAGGGGTACACGGCTCTGGCTGGCTCTTGTGGGTAATGGCATCTCCAAATCCCATCAGGAAAGCAGGTCTCTGGCAGTCCCGAAGGGGGTCTGTGGGATGCCACGTTGGCACAGGGCGTCCCCCTTGCAGGGTTGGACTGTTTGAATACAAAGAGAGGATGTTATCAGCTGCTCATTCCCCCAGATTTCTGCTATTTTTCACTCTGGGTTATGAATTCACCAATAATTTCAGCCATAATCTAAGGATAGTGATATTTTTCTGTTCTGCTGCTGAGGAATGCATCACTCATCGCAGCCTGGGTCTCCTAGCCAAATTTCTCACCAGTCTCTGAAGTACTGAACCTTTTTTAAGCTGAGGATGTAAGTGACATTGCTCGCGAGAGAACTACTCCATGTATCTGTTTTCTTTCAGAATGAAAAAGGCAAACGTTGACCTCACTATGAAACAATTTCAAGGTATCTTTAGAAATAGAAGGGAAGGAAAAAAAAAAGAAAAAGGAAAAAGCCCATAGATTTTAAATGCTTGCCGCACCCGATGTTGTCTGCACCTTAAAAGTGCATCAGGTGCACAAATCTTTGCTCTTTGACTCTTCCTTTCCATGGAAAGCTTGCTCCTGAAAGGAATTTAGGATACAAACTGCCTCCCTCTCTGAGGCTGTGTAATTCCCACTCCGCAAAGGGTCCCTGGTGCAACTGCGCACTCTTGGCTTCGGGCAATGTGCGTGTTTCCTTCCATATGTAATCCCAGCGGGCCCTTCGCTTCCTGCTCCCTTCGCTTTAACCCTGGCACTGCCCCGTTGCAGCTCTTTTCTTGTCTCCACATGCAAGGAGCAGCCTCTGAGGTTGGCCAGGAGCAGGGTGGGAGGAGAGGACCGAGGAACACAACTCCACCGTAGCCTTCGGCGTGATGAAATGCTCATTTTGGGCGTGAAGGTGGAATTTAGGCCCTGGGGATCTGCCACCAGGAAGGTTTGCTGTGAGCAATGTGAAGTGAGGAGGAGGGGAAAGATTTGAGGACAGGGTATGGCCCAGGAGGCATGAGCTGCTTTTTAGAAATAAATTTTGCTGCCCATTTAATAGAGAAGGCGTCCAAACAACTCACTAGGAGTAACTGTTCACCCTTTAGAGTCACTGGTGCTCCAGAGAGCTTTCAGTCACGGTGTGTAGGACTGATCGGTCTGCAGATTTATCAAAACCAGTACCTCAGAGCCCTCACTGGGGATGGGTGCACCTACATTGTGATGAGATGCAGCTGCCCAATGCATTAATGTATTGGGAAGGGGCTCTGCTCCACCACCTTCTTCTGCCCCAGTACCTCTGTGGCAGGACCGTACAGACTAAACTAAATCAGACAGGGCTGGATCTTGTTAAGAGGCCCCTCTGACTTAGCTTGGTGGAAGCTCATGTGCTCCATCTAGTGTCCAGAAAGCTGAGCATTTGGGTACCGAGCTGGGGGCCCCACAGAGGGCAATCACTGCTACGTGGCCCTTGGGCAGAAACATTCCGCTTTTAGCTTTTTCCTGACCAGGGCAGAGGTTTGACCTGCTATTCTGTGTACAGCAAATCTGTTGCTTCCATTCCCTGCCCCTTCCTTAAATCATTTACTGTACATGAACATAAAATCATGTAGTAAAATTGCTTTAAAAGGAAAATTTCATTCAAAATGCAGAGGCTCTGCATGCCAGAGCGCAGCCTGGACTCCTGGAGATTAATTATTGCTCAGGGCAAAGCTCAGTGTGCACTTGGAATTGTTGCACCCCAAGTGAAGCGTTCATGCGGATGCTCCAGCTATCACTGGAGCCTAGGAATGGGTCTCACTGGAAGAGGCCCTGGGGTCTGTGAATGCTTGAATCATGCTGATGGTGTGCTCTTCTTGCCCAGCAGGTCCTCACAGGTGTCCAGTGCTGCCAAAACCATGTGGATTACTCTGGTGCTTGCTCTCTGCAGCCTCGCTGCAGCCGTGCCCTCAGAGGACAGGAAGCTGAGTGACAAGGCAACAACGCTGGCCGACCGCAGCACGACGCTGGCCTTCAACCTCTACCACGCCATGGCGAAAGACAAGAACATGGAGAACATCCTGCTGTCCCCTGTGGTGGTGGCCTCTTCCCTCGGCCTCGTGTCCCTCGGGGGCAAAGCCACAACCGCCTCCCAAGCCAAGGCGGTGCTGAGCGCAGACAAACTGAACGACGACTATGTGCACAGCGGGTTGTCCGAGCTCCTGAATGAGGTCAGCAACAGCACAGCCCGTAATGTCACCTGGAAGATCGGCAACCGCTTATACGGCCCTGCCTCCATCAACTTCGCCGATGACTTTGTGAAGAACAGCAAGAAACACTACAACTATGAGCACTCCAAGATCAACTTCCGAGACAAGAGGAGCGCCCTGAAATCCATTAACGAGTGGGCAGCCCAGACCACGGATGGGAAACTCCCAGAGGTCACAAAAGATGTTGAGAAAACCGATGGGGCCCTCATTGTCAATGCCATGTTCTTCAAGCGTAAGTTCTACCTTCAATTATTTATACAAGTGACCCAAAATCTAGCCTGAGCCAATATGTAGCAGCCCAAATGGGAAGGTGAACAAATCCTGGGTCCACTGGAGACATGCTCTTTTTCAGAGTGAGTAGTTAGGAACTGTGCATGAAATTACCACCCCTTCCCTTTTCTCACAAGCTGAATTCCTCTCCTGTAGCTCACTGGGATGAGAAGTTCCATCATAAGATGGTAGACAACCGTGGCTTCATGGTGACCCGTTCCTACACCGTGGGTGTTCCCATGATGCATCGTACAGGTAAGTTGTACGCCTCTTGCCCCATGTCAAGACAAACTGGGGTTTAACTCACTGCTGCTCCGTTACCCAGTTTTCCACCAGCTGCTCCCAAGATTGTTTTGTCTCATGGTCAATGAGAGAACAAAGCCGGGTGTGCTTGTTCTGCTGATTCAGTCTCTGTGAGCAGAGATAATCCATGTTTACTACTGGGTGTTTGGCTGTTAGGAATAAATCCAAGCTCATCACGCAAGTGAGAGCCACAGTTTTGAGTTGTTGCCAACTCCAATGACGCTGGGCCAGTTCCCAAAGCAGTGTTGAGGCTCACTTCCCTTGCTGGTCAGGGAAAGTCCAAGGTGAATTTGCAAGGAGGTTGTGGGTAGCTTTGTCTCTGCTCCACATCTCACCATTTCCTGCTTCTGATTTCAAGGTCTCTACAATTACTATGATGATGAGGCAGAGAAGCTCCAGGTGGTAGAGATGCCACTTGCTCACAAGCTCTCCAGCATGATCTTTATCATGCCAAACCACGTGGAGCCTCTCGAGAGGGTTGAGAAACTGCTGAACAGGGAGCAGCTGAAGACCTGGGCTGGCAAGATGAAGAAGAGATCAGTGGCCATCTCACTGCCTAAAGTCGTCCTGGAAGTCAGCCATGACCTTCAGGTAAAAGAGGTCCTTAAAGAAAACAGTTGGGCCTTACAGGTCTTTGGGGTGAGAGAGAAGATAGCGGGATGATGGGTTATTATCTATGCCTAATGTCCCTTTTCCAGCAGCTAGGCCTAGCGTGGCTGAAAAGGATTGCGCTGTGTCATCTCTGGGAGAGTTGCTGACCTCTTTTCTCCTCCTAGAAACACTTGGCTGATCTGGGCCTGACGGAAGCCATTGACAAAACCAAGGCTGACCTCTCAAAGATCTCTGGCAAGAAAGACCTTTACCTGTCCAATGTCTTCCATGCTGCTGCTCTTGAATGGGACACAGATGGGAACCCCTACGATGCTGACATCTACGGCCGAGAGGAGATGAGGAACCCCAAGCTCTTCTATGCTGACCACCCCTTCATCTTCATGATCAAGGACAATAAGACCAACTCCATCCTCTTCATCGGCAGGCTCATGAGGCCCAAAGGCGACAAGATGCGTGATGAGTTGTAGTTAGGGTTTTTTTTTTCCAGAGCTTTGGTTTGTGTGTTTTTAGCGGGGGATTTCAAAAAAAGGGGAAACACTTTATTTTGTATCCTTCTCGAACTATGGGTGCTATTCAGACCAGGGTGCATTGGGATGAGAAACCAGCATACACTTTACCTCACCCCAAAACACTTATTGCACAAACCCACCTCCAGAGAGAAACGAGAGCCTGGCACAAGAGGGTCACCAGGAAGGGAGCTGGCATGCACCTTGTCAGCCACTGGCATGCTCAGCTGAGAGTTTGGCTCCTCCCTGCACTAGAGTTCAGCCTCCTGCTAAGTACCTTGCTGCTGCCATCAGCCCTGCATAGGCACAAGGCCTCCACGCTTCCATCTCGAATGCTTCTGCACATTTAGCTCTGTCGCTTGCTTTTCTCCCCTTTGATGCCATGCAGCACCACACCTAGAGCTGCTCTGGTCCCCTTGCAGTTGTCCCTTGCTTCTCTCTTTTACCTTCAGTGGTCTGCAGCAGAGCACAAAGGGCTGATTCTGCAGTCCAGCCCACTCTATGGCTCTGGGAGCAGAGCGGGACCATGACAGGGTGTGAGATGGGAGATTGCATGGAATTGTGCCCTTCTGGCCTCTCTAACCCTGCTCTGGGTGACTGTTAGATGAAGTGGCTTAGAGGTTTCAGCAGAGAGGCCAAAGAGCAGATGGGCTTCTAGAAAGATAAACCTCAGGTCCCTTCAGCACTCTTGCCTGACAGAAATGGCTGTGCTCCACCCCTCCAGGGATCACAAAGGGTGTTCTTGGACCAAGACCTGTAATTAAACATCCTGTACCAGGCAGAGGGACTCTGCTTCTCTTGGTGCTTCTGCATCAGAACACAGGGCTGGGAACAAGACAGTTACCACTGTGAAGGTTCTCCCCATTACCACCCATCAGCTCCCATAGCAGGACAAGGGCTTCACACAGGGAGGTGGATCAGGTTCACTTCCACTTTCTTGTTTAAATACAAAGCTTTAAAGCTGCCATTGCTTGACTTCCTAATGACGCTTTTCTGAAGCTCCTCTCCTCTGTACTTTAGCTCCCTGTTGGCTGACCTGGATAAGGGCATGCTGAAAAACAAATGTATTTATAGTTATATTTATGTCTGATAATTGGCAAGTTTTGCAGCCTGCTACAGCGTAGACTTGGAGGCCATTCCTATTCTCTTTTAAGGGCTACCATCAGGTTATTTAAATACAGTATGAGCACATGAGCATTGAAGCATGTGTCATTCAGGTAAGCCCTGCTACGCACTGAGACACGACAAAGCAAGTAATGACAAGATTACTGAAATGAGGGAAATCTCTCTCATAATCCAAGTTATGTGAAACCAGGAAGGACAGTGGCTGCATTGCTTTTGTGTTCATTTCCGTGCCAACGTGCTTGCTGTCAGGTTGCTACATAGAAGCCCAGTACTGCATTTTTTCACACCATTCACAGGACTATTTCCACTTATTTATTAAGTTGCAGCTACAGTTTCTTTATTAGATGTTTCTTACAGCCAAAAATAGAGCAGCTTGTGCCCCTAAGTTTGACCAGACCATGCCTTCTCCAGGTTTGCAAGGTTACACAGTTGCAGGAAAGCTTGTCTGCCCAAATTCTTGTTTAAGCCAGCTGGAATGGGAGATTCCTGTCCTCTTCCCAGATCATATTCCCAGGTGCTTTCCCCACTGTGCTGGGAAGCGGGAGGCAATCCATCAGGATGTACCCAAATGCAGAGGAAGCCTGAAGCCCGGTGTGTATGCTAGATGCTACCTGGTGAATCGGCGCACTGAAACCCACACGCTGTAGCATGTTATTGAGGATGGGGGGGGTGGGGGTAAAAAGGGGTGGGCAAGGCAAGAACACACTGTGGGATATTGTGAATAATTGCATCATGTGGATGCAGGCGTCTGATGGCTTTTATTGTCCGTTCTTGTACCACACAGTGACAGTTGTCTAATTTTGCAATAAAACTTTTTCAACGAACCTCTGGCAGTCACTGTCACTTGCAGGGTTTGGGGGCAGGCAAAATACTCTTAGAAGAGCTTCGAGAGGCTCCATGCCATCCTTAAATGCAATACAACTTTGTTAATCTGGTAATTACAGACCAAAATTACGCTTACTACACAACAACACACGAATTTCCATGACATCTCCATCATGGAAAAGGAACACTATTAGCAGGTTGGCTTTTCACTTTTAACATTTTTCTGCTGAAACTGCAAGGATCCAGCATCTTTAATGTTTCACAGGTGAGATGACCTACTGCCCTCCCCTGCTCTGCCATTTAGCAGAGCAGCCAAATGCCCAATTAAGAAGAAAATAGGAATAAAACTGAGCTTACAGCCACGGGGACCAACCTTCCTGATCCTCTAACTCTGGCTGGGATTCAATTAAGGGAAACAGGAGGAAAAAACTGCAAGAGCCTGCACCATTGCTGTGGGCATACAGTTACACCTTGGAAAAATCCAGCAGTGCCAGAGCCTGCTGGCCCACATCCTTCTACTGCTGGGAAGGGATTAACCTTCTGCCACTGGGAAACAAAACTAAAGTCACAGACATCTCCTCCAAAAAAGCACATCTGGGACAGGCAGGCACACATCCGTGTGGAGCTCCTCACTGTTGGAGGCTTCATGAATTAAAATGGATAGAGTTCTATGCCTTGGAATCACCACCTTAAGAATTCTGTAATTTAGAAAGACCACCTTAAGATGACACAGGGATAAAGAAAGAGAAAGTACGACGATGCGGCAAGAGAACAACCCGGAAGTAAACCAACAGGAAGCGAAAGTAAACCAACCTGACCCGGATGTGGGCAGTGACACATAAGATAGAAACCAATCATGTATTAGCTTAGACAATATGGACACATATATGTAACCAATAGAAATGGTTATGTAGTGTGACTAAGGGATTTTGGACTATAAAAATACAGCTTCTGATAAAATAAAGGTCTTCGATTTATAACTCTTATAGAGTCATCTCAGAGTCCTGTGGCCATCTTGCACCTCACAGCCTGATGAAGCACCACACTCTTGCCAGATCAGTCTCTCATTGCAGAAAATCACAGTAGCCACCTCCAGCACCAGCCATGGCAGCTCACAAACATCAACCTGGAAGACACTGCAAGAGAGTTAAAAACTTTCCAGGCTCCTGAGCTCATCGTGGCAAGCAGTTTTAAATGCCCGTGTTTAAAACAACGTCAAGACAGGGAAGTGAGTGAGTCCCCTGCCATTCTTTTAAGCAGCTTCTTCCAACAGCTCACAGTGGTGGCACACTCCAACCAATGCATGCTAGAAAGGTATTCAGTTCACACATGCAAACCTTGACCATTATGGGGTAATCCTTGATGTTGTCCTTAACTTCTCACAACATGATGGATACAGAGAGGTCCAGCAATACCACTCTTAACACACAGTACTTGCACATCTCCTGATCTTACACACAACGAACTGAACATCTCTTGATTCTACCAGTTATGGCCTCAAGTTGCACCAGGGGAGGTTTAAATTGGATATGAGGAAAACTTTATTTACTGAAAGAGTGGTCAAACACTGGAACAGGCTGCCCAAGGAGGTGAAGTTACCATCCCTGGAGGCGTTCAAGAAGTGCATGGATGTGGCACTTCAGGGCATGGTTTAGTGGCCATGGTAGTGTCAGGTTGACGGTTGCACTTGATGGTCTTAGAGGTCCCTTCCTCTTCCTTAACGACTTTGTGATTCTGTGATCAGCACTGGGAGATCAACAGGCTGATGGACCAGGTTAGAGGGTTTCAAACCAGAAAGAGTCAAGTGATCTCCAGGAAAGCCAGCCCCCCCTGGAGGACTGCAGGAGAAATTTCCAGTTGATCACCATTTAGTATATTGGGACTTTGAAGAATACAAACATGCAAGGCCTTGTAGTGTGTGTCACCCTTCTGCTGCTTCAGGCCTTCCAGCTTTCACACTTCTACTGCTCCTACAGAAGTGATAAAGCTGGTCGGTCACTTTTTTTTAATTTTCTTCCAAATTAAATTGAAGAAAATAAAATGGTATTACTACTCTTAACACTTATTTTAGAACTTTCCACTGAAAGATGTGTACAGAAACCTGAAATCACTCATTCTGACACTGAGGAGGCACATCTGTTTCCAACAGACCTGACCAGCTTCCCAGCCAGCATCTTGCCAGGCTGCGCTTCCAGGGCTGCCAGAGAAGCTGGCAACAGGGAGGCTGAGGCTCACAAATGCACACACACTGCCACACAAGTTTCTGACACCACCAGTTTGAAATTCCAGTTCATGTTACCTGCCTGGCTCCTGCAGAGAAGCCTCCTGAAAATGGAAATCTGGATGTAAAAGCTATTCCTAAGCAACGAATTTTGCCAATTTGTACAATTCTTGTTACTGCAGCAAACAGGTTCTGAATTTCTTGGAAGTCTGAACAAAGCAAAGCCTTGTTTCTGTGCACAACATGATCTCTTATGTTCTAACGGTCTCTTCCCATTACTGCACCAGACTGAAAAACACTGAGAAAGGAGCTAACAGAACTAGAATTTCCCCGGAACTTAACCAAATGCTCAGTTTCTGTCGGACTTTAGCTTGGCCGCAGCTGACAAGAAGAGCATCAAAAGCAATGTATACAGCAACAGAAGTGAAAACACATCCCCTGCCTACAAACTATGCATTTTAATAGCATAAGTAGCCTTGTCTTTTAATATTAATTTTAGGGCCTATGTTATCTTACTGCTACTCAAGCTTTAAAGGAAGATAAGTTTTTCCTCTGTAGCTTAAATATATTTTTATGTCCTAAGACAGAAGGTTTGAAATCTACTTCCCCCGCCCGCCAACTAATGTGTTAATACCTGCTCAGAGGTTTCTCACCCTTTACCTCCAACTAAGGTTACCTGACCATAAGAGAAGCAGTAACGTTCCCATACAGCAACCTGGTCTGGTGGGAGGTGTCCCTGTCCATGGCAGGGGTTGGACTGGATGAGCTTTAAGGTCCCTTCTAGATGGTCTGGGTAAACCAGTCTGTGATTCTATAGTCTACTGCCCCAAAAGTCAGTGAACATCTTTTCACTGACAAGGGAAATGGATGTACAGAGGTGAAAAGAGCAATTTAGAAGAATATAACAACATTTCAGTTTAAGCCATAAAAGGTATTAACTTCTGCAATTGCTTTGGACGTTGCTAAAAAGCTCCCCCTTCTGGAAACCTCAGAAAAGGGACTGGTATGTAAGTGGAGAGGTCCCAGTACTTCTTCAGTTCATGGAGTGTCATTCATGACCCTCAAAACACAGATTGCTGCTCCAGATCTACCTAGATATCAGCATTTCTTCCCCACTCCATTCAGACCAAGATCTGGTTAAGTTCACTCCAACAGGGCACCACAAGCAGAAGAAATGCAGAGGAATTCCTTCCATACCAAAGGGGGGAGCAAAGCTTTCCTGGAATACTCTTGCAAAAGAAAAAAAAAAAGGCACCTCCACAAGCACTGTCTTTTGTGATTTTATTAAGAGATGTTTTCAGGACAGTCCAGCTTCTGGTCACAGATGTTACAAAACCTACAATGATAAACAAAACACTGAGTAAGATGGCAGCAGAGTATTTCCCATAACCATTCTTCTACCCTAAAACAAACAGGCTACAAGTTCTCAAATTAAATGGCATCTCACACTTCTCACATTTTAGCCAATGATCCCCCTTTTCCTCACAGGAGGAGATCCTGCTTGTCAGATTCCCTTGCATCACTGCTGCAAACTCCCTGAGCTCTCTCCCTGTTCACACAAGGCCAGCTTCACTCACAGCTGAGGAAGTTTTCTGGGAAGCAGCCTTAGGCCCTGTGCCACCTCCTCTGCTGCTCTGATCAGAGAAAATGAGCAAACTTGTAAGAGCAGCAAGTTGCATATTTTCACTTGGGACAACCCAGAGCAGGTCTCAGACAATTTCAAGCTATTATTTTCTGTCTTAGGGAAACAGGATTTCAAACCTTGAACATTTAAGAAACTAGCCTACACATTATGCTCAACATCATTGGTTGTTAAGTCAATACTAAACTGGGTCCCAGTACACTTACTGTGTGAGGCATATACACCCTGTGCTGTCAACTGCACATTGGTAGTAGGTGGTACAATGTGAAAACATCCAAGGCACCGAACCCTTCTCAGACAAATGCCATTAAGTCACTCAAATTGTGACCCAAGGTCCCCAAATCTATGCTGCAGAACACAACACAAAACAGGGCACTTGGACAAGGACATTCCCTTTCAGACTCGTCATCTCATCTTCACTGAAGGGTGTGCTTAGCTGGTTTGCAGCATGCCTTAAACTGTGCTTCTTCATCCAGGGTGATACTCTACACTCAACTGAGCCGATCCCTGCACCTGGTACAACACAGCTGCTTTTTCACCCCCAGTATCCCAGCTACCATACAGCTTTTTTGGTGACATTACACCTTTTCTGCATGGATCCTCCCACCACTGGCAGGCACATACCCCTCACGCAGTGGGAACCGGCTGAGGCATTGCTGGCTGTTCTGGTTTGCCACCTTTCTGCTCTGATATGGGGGTGGTGGGCAAGATCTCTTCTTTGGGTTCCACAATGCTGACGTGGTCTGGCAGAGGCTTTTTGGGGCCAATCTTTCCACTTGGGTCCCAGGGCAACATAATCTTTACTTTGATTCCCAGTACTCCTGCAAAGAGTGACAAGACAACACAGACATGTTTATTTGACACAAAATACCAAGCAGATATTTGGTAGTGACAAGCCCCACGGTTACAAAATAATGCTATCTGCAAGAAAAATATCTCCTAGCAACACAGAAGATGCAACCTGATTAACAAACATGCTATAGCTTCAAAGATCTAGTTACTGTGAATTTAGATCAGCATCTTTACCTTTCTCCAATTCATTGCCTTTGCTGACTGCAGCCTGGGACGACAATGAAATCGTGCTATATCCTGAAGTCACATTGTGGTTTTTAAACCCTGCCTTTCCCAAGATAACTCACTTTCCAAGGAAATGGCACTGGGTTTTTTTTGCATCCCTTCTCAGACAAATGCCTCTAAATCATCCAATGAGTAGGACATCCTGCCCAAGGCAGCCGTAGCACAGCACCACAGAACATGGCACTGAGCAGGCTGCAATGACACAAGGACACCCCTTCTGACTCGTCATCGTATCATCACCGAAGGGAAGGTAAAGAACAGCTTTGTCTATGCTAAGATCCCTGTATCAGTTGTTTTGCAATTAACTAACCAAAGCCAATTAAGATGCAGAAGTCATTTGTGTTTTAGCAGGGGGAAGAATGAATGTAAGCACACTTGGCTGATTTTTACCTGGGAAGACTTGTCAGGGCACAGCTATAGGGAAAACTGTCTGACACTTGCTTTTTTGTGGGTTTTGTAGCACCTGTGCTCTATCTGCCTACACCAGGAGCCAAGTCCAAATTCAAATGCTCTTGAACCTAGTCAATATGCGCTTGATTTTTTAAGTTGTCTTGCTATGAGCACCAGAGGCCACAGGAAACAAGTCAGTATCTGGAAAAGCAAATTACCTGGGATGACTACATAAAATTCTGCTGAAGGCCCCTTCTCCATTTCCCATTCACGTAACACAAATGCAAAGTAAGTTCTACTTCACATGTAACGTGCAAACTCCACAGTGAGAGCTTAGTTGCAAAAGCCCAAGAAAACAACACATTTTCAGAGTCAGAACAACTACTGGTAGCACAACTGAACCACTCTGCAAGATCAGTGGTGCATCAAAATCATGATTTGCCACCCCACAGGTGACAGAGGGAAGCCTCCAACCTGCAGGTAGGAGTTGAGATCTTCTGGCTTTGAAGCACTGAGAGAAGGAACCAAGAGAGCTGCAAAGGGATCTGCATCCCAGCCACTCACCCTGCCGGAGAAGGACGTGACGCACGGCTGTGTCAACGTAGTAGTTCACCGGGTCTCCACTGTGGATCATCAAGCCATCCACAAACTTCATGGACTTGGCACGCTGACCTCTGAGTTTGCCAGACACAACCACCTCACAGCCCTTGGCACCACTCTCCATTATGAAGCGGAGGACACCATAGCAGGCTCTGCAGGGAGAGCAGTAACAGCCACAGCGTTACTCCCACTCTGACAAATGGCTCCGCAGAGGCATTTTACCCCAGTTTCAAAGCACAGGCAATCACACTTCAACTTTCATTTTTAAGCAGCTTTCTGAACACGCACCCATGCAACCAAAGCTCTGGCAGTGCCACACAAAGCAGCAAGAATCTTAGCACTTTCAAACCCAGCCCAAGAAAACTCTTGTGACTTATGGTCCTTGTATGGTTGTGGGAACAGTAACAAGCAAATTCTTCGTGACACAAAGGTAGCTCCACAGCTGAAGGTGGCCAATACACCCATGTGAGGACTGCAGCTCCCCATCCCTTCTCAGACAAATGCCTCTAAATCATCCAGTGATGACAGAAAGCTCTTGCTGAAGAGCCACACACAGCATCACAGAACATGACACTGCAGAAGTACAGCAGCAAGAGCCACCTGCTTCTGACTCGTCATCTTATCATCACCGAAGGGATCGGAGAAGCAGGGCCACAGTCACCTGAACTACAATTCAGCCAGAAGACATGAAATTGTGTTTCACTCCTTCACTCATTTATTCACAAAGAAAATGGTCAGACAACTTACAATCTGATCTACTCTAAGACTTCATCTTTGATGTCTGAAATACATTATCTAGCGATTACTAGCAAAAGTACCTGTGTATGAAACAAAAAGCTTCTATACTGCAGAATTATCAAAAATACTAACTGCTCTAAGTGCAACATTACTAGTTTAAATTTTCAAACTAAAGACAAGTTGGCAAAGAGTTTTGTTTGAAATGGTCTTTGAATCCCACACTTCCTCTCTGTGCCACCACATTCAGCTTGCTCTACTCACCGACGCACAGCTAAACCTCCCAGGAGCTTGTACCGCAGGGACTCTGCCTGAGCAATTGCGCACAGACCTCTTGTGGCCACCTTCTCAGCATAGAGCTACAAAGGAAAAGAAGTAAACTCAGAAACAGGGTGGTATTTCAAGATACTTTTAACAGAACACAGGAGCTTCATACTATTTATGCCTCATCCTATACACTCGGTTCAGTCAGTCCTTCCACGATTACACACAGCTTTAACACTGGAGGCTGCACTCCCTAACTTCTTTTGGTGCCTGCCTCCTGCTCCTGGCAGAGCTGAGACGCACTGATGACACTCCACTGAAAGTCAGGAAACTACCACAACATCCATGGCACAGTCTCTAAGAGCTGCTGCTTCAAACAGCTCCAAAACTTTAGGTACCACTGGAGAGAGGCATCCAGGCAATCACAAGGACTTTGCTTGAGATACAGATTTCACAACACATCAGTAACATATGTTTGCTTAAGCATTGAAATCAAACCTAAGAAAGGGTTTGATTTTTGGAAGGTGGGAGAGTGAGGTGTGTTAAATTTAACATCTCCAAGAGACCCAAGTCTGATACATCAGAAGCAGCAGACATCCAAAATCACACACATGATATTCCCGGAGCTGACAGATCATGATGTGCTGAGGGTTTGTGTCATTCGGGATGTTTAAGCATTTGCTGGAGGTAATGAGCAATCTTCACTGCATAATGTAATCCAGCAACGCTGGCCAAGCAGGAATAAATGGGAGCACCACCCCAGACGTGTTCTCTCCCACTCCTGATTTGTTTTAGAGGAAAGTACTCGTAAGGGCACCAGCTTTCAAATGCTAAGACTGGAAGTCACTGGTGTGTCACTTTACTGTCTATTTCAGTACAGTATCATACTCAAAACATCTGACATCCTTCTACACCAAAACAGTTTCTTTGTAAGTAAAGAAACCCTGTAAATTAAAAAAAAATAACGGTAACACACAAATACCAAACATTATGCTGTTAGTCTAGCTTTCTCCCCTCAATACTGGGACAGGAACATTCTCTATAAAATATTTACACCTAAGTTTAATTCAGATGGGAATTCAGAGAAAGCTAGCCAAAGTGACAGCACTCAAAATACCACAAACAGCAAAGCATTTTGTATTTCAGTGCAAAAGCGTTTCGTGAGAACAGGTAAAACACATCGCAAGTTATCTCCAAGTCAAATCACTTTTCAGCCGACACCATCCAGACAGTGCACGAAGCTCACTGCACAACCCACTCTCTACTTTAAGCATGACGCTTTTACCTCAACGCTTCCCTCAGGGAATCCAAACCTCTTCTGCACGACAGCGGTCAGCTCCCGGATGCGGCGTCCCTTCTCACCCAGGACATTCTGAGTTCTGCAAAAATAAGTACAGTACAACTGAAAAAAGTGCCTCCAGGTCTGAACCCTCTATCATCCTAAAGAGCTTTGAGACTGAGAATCTAACTTAGTCCAGTGACTGTAACACTGCAGTATCACTAAAAATCACTTCAGGATCTCCTTCCCAAGTAGCTTCCTGTAATAATATTTACCACTCTAAGCTTGAGCCTGCAGCAGCATCCCTTACAGCCTTGCACAGCACCTGTGAGTCAACAGCAGCAGCTCAGTTACCTGGTGGCAAGTATGATAATCTCAGTCCTGGTTGGGGTGACCCGGACTTCTACTCCAGAGTACCCATCTTCAGCCAGTTCACGAGTCAGAAACTCATTCAGCTCAGCTTTGAAGATACCGTCAGCAACAAACTGAAAAATAAACGGACTAAGTCAAGCTCTGTTCAAACGTTCAGCCTGAACACAAGATTTTAATATTCTGAGTTAGGGCAATTCTGCAATTTGTCCCTGGGACCATCCAGCAGGTTCCCCCCCCCACGGAGAAGGAGCAGGAGGAAGACACTGGCACAGGTTGCCCAGGGAAGCTGTGGATACCCCCTCCCTGGAAGTGTTCAAAGCAAGGCTGAACAGGGCTTTGAGCAGCCTGGGCTGGTGGGAGGTGTCCCTGCTCATGGCAGGGGTTGGAGTGGGTGAGCTTTGAGGTCCCTTCCAACTCAAACCACTCTGTGATTCTGTGAAATAAAAGCACCTCCCCTGAAGTTCCAAGGGACAATTCAGTTTTAGCAGCAGCCTTCATCACCACCTGGTCCACAACTTGCTACAGCCACATTTCATGCTGAAATCATAACTCGCTGCTTTGTCTTGCGGAGGTACTATGATTCAGTAGGAACTTCATAAAGTAATTAAAGAAGTCACATCCCTTTGCCAGCCCCACACGGG